GAAGGCTACATTCAGACAGCGGAATGGTTCGGGTCATTTCAGATAAGTTCCGGAGTACCGGGGGTTACCGGACCCCCCCCCCCCGCGAGGAAGTTATTGGGTCTCATGGGCCTAATGGTGGAAGAGAGGAGGCAGTCCAAGGTGGGGCGCATGCCCCCCTAGCCCAAACCTAATTGGACTAGGGCTAGCCCCCCCCCCATTCCTTCTCTTCTTCCTCTCCTTCCTTCTTCTCCTACTTGGACTAGGAAAGGGGGAAACCTACTCCTACTAGGAGTAGGAATCCCCCCCTTGGGCGTACCCCTTGAGGCCGGCCCTCCTCCTCCCCTCCTTTATATATGGGGGAAGGGGGCACCCCATAGACACACAAGTTGATCTTTAGCCGTGTACGGTGCCCGTCTCCATAGTTTTACACCTCGGTCATATTGTCGTAGTGCTTAGGCGAAGCCCTGCGTCGGTAACTTCATCATCACCATCAACACGTCGTCGTGCTGATGGAACTCACCCTCGGCCTCGGCTGGATCAAGAGTACGAGGGACGTCACCGAGCTGAACGTGTGCAGATCACGGAGGTGTCGTGCGTTCGGTACTTGATCGGTTGGATCGCGAAGACGTTCGACTACATCAACCGCATTACTAAACACTTCCGCTTTCGGTCTACAAGGGTACGTAGACACACTCTCCCCTTTCGTTGCTATGCATCTCCTAGATAGATCTTGCATGATCGTAGGATTTATTTTTTTGAAATATTGCATTCTCCAACAGTTCCTCCCTTGCGGGGTCTTCATCCACTAGGGATCTTCTCACATGGAGGTCTTGAACTCCATGGGAGTGGTGGTCTCTGTCTCTCTCTCAAGAGGAGGAGTAGAAGCAAAGCTCACATAAAAATGAGCTATCACTTTGTTAACCCTAGAAATGAGGTGGATGTGGTCTATTGATAGTCTAAGCCGCGAAGGGGTAAGTGGGAGAGGGATACAAGGCCCAAGTCCCGCAGCTGCGCACAGGCAGGTACCGGATGTCCGATCGGTGTCGGAAGTCCGATGGCTCGTGAGGTACCGGACGTCCAGTGCGGGTTGGACATTCGATGTTTTGGCTCTGTTGAAGTGGCGTCGGATTTCCGGACGATGTTGGTCGTCCGGTCGCTGGAGGATACCGGACGTCCGTTGTCGTGTCGGTCGTCCGGTCGCTGTAGGGCTCGTCGGTTGTAGCTCTTTTGGCTTGTGAAGTCTCTAGGCGTCGGACGTCCAGAGGTCGTCGGTCGTCCGGAGGCCGTCGGACATCCTAGAGGTGTAGCTTGTAGCAGATCCGTTTCTTTCGTCTTCTCTTCCAGGCTTCCCTCGCGGATGGTGTAGTTGTACACTTGCGCTCGCACTCCTGCTCGTCGTCTGCAGCGTTCCAACAATACCTATGCATGCACACGAGTGGAGTGTCAAGTAGTATACCATCCTCAAATGGGTCAAGTGAACACGTGTAAAGGAGATGATTCACCTTTATGTATGTGAAGTAGATATCGCACGTGTCACTTTCCAAACGGACTCTTGACATGGTGATGTTCGTAAGATGCTCCGCATCAGCTGACCTTATGATAGATCTGGAAGGAACGGAACGCTCGCATCTTTGATGGCGACGCCGAGCATTCGACGAGGTAGGTGTTGCACCTCCTTCTAACGGAGGCACATGACTGGGCACTGGGCGGCGACCGGCACTTTTTGCTACGAGAGTAGGACTTCGTAGCTGGCTCTCTAGGCCTCTTTGTGTTTGTTTTCGCCCTTGCTTGCTTGCTAATGTGTTAGCTTGCCCGTGTAATCGGCATTCTTTGCCCCACTTCTAATCGATCGAAATACGTAGCTCTTCTGCGTTTATTTAAAAAAATGTATTTTGGATAAATTATTTAAAAAATCATGAACCATCGGTATGTTATTAAGCTCGAGAATCATCTTACTTTTGAGGGCAAGACAATATGATCAAAAGAGTAAAAAGTTGACACAACCCTAACTCATTGATAGAAAATGCACCTGAAAAATTAACTAAGTAGCACAATCAATCTTAGAGTGATGATTCAATCATCAATTTAGTAAAAATGAAATTATTGTTCATTAAATTTCAAACAATCGGGTTGCTAGAAGTATATGGATTGATTTCACACTCCACAGCTCTAATGTAATTTTGATGGTCAGGTGACTGATCCGAAACACAAGATGCAAGGTGCAGCATCCCACGCCGGACCTAAATGCACGGTTTGGACCACGGTAAGAGCATCTCTAGCCGTTCGGCTCCCCAGGGCGCTGAAAAAGAGCCCCCTGGGGGCGAGCCGGCGCTAGATTGGCGTGTGAGGGCGACCTAGCTCCTAGTCGTTGACCCAACGGTCGTCCCGGGTGCGGTGATATTGCGTATAAAATATATGCAAACTCGGCGACATTTGCACAAACTCGGCAAAATTTCATTCAAATTGGTACATAGAACATGAAAACATGCAAACTATGCCTAAACTATGCCTAGCCGCCGCCGTCGTCGTCTACATGCCGAGAAGCCTGTAGAAGCGGGTGTAGTCGTCGTCATCGTCGTGCGGCTGGCTTGAGTCGGCGACGTTGCTGCTGCAGCCCTGGCCAGGGGCGGCGAGGCGTGGTGGCGCGCTGGACGGCCCGGCCTCGTCCTCGTTGTCGCTGTCAAGGACGATGACGCCGCGCTCCTCGCGCCCGCGGCGCCAGGCCTAGAGCTCCGCGTACGCCCGGCGCTGGTGGCGGACCTGCTCACGGACGTAGTCCTCCTTCGCCCACTTGAGAGCGGACTCATCGTCGGGGGCAGGCATCTCGACGTGCTCCGGCTTCACCGGGAGCAACCCCGGCTCGGGCTTCGGCCGGACCAGGCGAAGGGAGCGCCTCCCCGGAGTCAGACCAGGCGGGGAGGGCCGGGCACCCTCGTTGATGACGAGGGCACCGCTGCGGGTGCGGCGCCCGAGCGGCATCTCCTCCGGCTCGGGCTTGACGGGGTGGAGCGGCGCGGCCGGTGAGCCAGAGCCCGACGACGCGGATGACCCCGGCTCCATCCTCCGCGGTGCCAAGAGCTACCACGGTGGCGGGAGAAGGTCGGCCGCTGCGGGTAATCGAGGCGCGACACGTTCCCGGTCTCGATGTGGTCGAGGACGGCCTCGAGGGTGCGGCCTGGCACGCCCCACCACTCACGTCGACCGCCGACGTTGAAGCAACCGCAGGGGATGATGCCGTTGGTGGCGGCGATCTGCTCGTCGCGGCGGCGTTGGAAGTACATGGTCCAGAGGGTGTGGCTGTCGGTGGTGTAGTGCGGCTCGTCCCTCTGCGCCTGCGTCAGGGAAGAGCGGATGCGGGCGATCTCGGCACGCCGCGCCGCTCCTTCGGGCACCGGTGGCATCGGTACGCCGTCGGCGCTCAGGCGCCACGTCCCCGGCACCCGCATGTCCGGGTGCGTCGGGTACTCGGCCTCGTAGAGCAGGCGCACCTCCTACTCTTGGAGGTGGCGGCGGCCGAAGTCGTTCGCCGCCGCGCCGTCGCTTGGGTACCTCTCGACAATGTTTCTAGTCGGCGGAAAGAGAGGAGTGTTGCTATCTACGCCGGAGAGGGGGGGGATGAGAGCTGTGGCGTCCACCGGCGGGGAGGTCGTCTTTTATAGCCGTAGCGGGGCGGTGACGGGCTGCATGCCGGGCGACGCGTGGCTGGACGTGCGTCGCGGCGCGTTCACTGCACCGCCCGTGAGAGGCATCAATGGAGGCTGACCGGCGCGGCAGCGAGGCAGCTTTCGCATTGATTCCCACGGGAACCGAGGCAATGAGGGCGACGAAGCGGCGTCTCGCTGACTCGACGGGCCCATCTGCTTTCGCGCCAAAACAATCGCCCCGGCGTCCCCGGACGCCCCAGCGCGTCGGGTTCGGTAAAGGTCCGCCTTAGACCCAAACAGGCGAAAAACAGGTTTCTGAAGACATGACTAGACCAATTTTTCGACACCGGCGCAACAAAATCACCTGAGAAGGGGCCTGCTGGGGGTGCGGCTGGAGATGCTCTAAGGCGTGGACAAATCGACAATCCACCGGCGAGGCGTCCCAGAGGAACGAGAGGTTGGCTGGCCTGGCGCGGCGGCCCTCGGCGCACGGGGACACGCGGCGAGCGGCGCGACGTGGGCCTTCCCCTCCCGCGCGGCCGGCGGCCTCCTGTCCAGGCAGGCAGGCGAGGATCCCGTCCTTTGGAGAAAGTGCTCATCTAGTCCATGATGAGAGATCCGAGCGCGGCAAGGTGACGGGGTTTTCTTGCGATATTTCTATTTAAAAGGTTGCCACGCATGCGTACGGGATATTTCCGTTTGTCAGTTGGGGCCTGCCATACGTACATGTTCATTCGGTCCGTGCATGTATGAATTAGTAGTGGTATATATTCCACAACATATATGATACAATCTGCCGTGTAAAGCATGGGTTGTTGATCCAGAAGATAGGCTCAAACATGTCCTCCGTTAACTATCTCCAGAATATGCCTCCGTTTCGTCTTCCTGCGCGCCGAGATTCTAATCTGGCAGCCCAGATGAATCTAGTACGGGTAGTTTTCTTTTTCTTTTTTGATTTGAGAATATAAGATGAATCTAGCCGCCAACATGAGATGAGATGAGATGCATAGCGATCCAGATGCGCCTACGGCCCTGCAAAATCATGTCGATTAACCCTGTCATGATTGAGACCCATTAATTCGATTTGCAGGATATCGCTACAGTGCACTGTATCCTACCCAGACAGCTAACCGTCAGACCCCATTGTGTTGTGGTGTCATCGCACTCATACACCGCTGATACACGCACCAAGGCAAAGGTGGTAGGAGTATCACCTCTCCCCCATGCCTATATAAAGATAGACCACACCCTTCGTCTCCCTTCCATGTCAACCTAACTGCCTTCTCCATTCCTCCTCTGTTTCTTGGATACAAACCGACTGACACCCTCTAGTTCATTAGCATAGGCTCTCCGTGCTTCCTCTGCTTTGTAACCATGGTGGTTCTTGCCAAGGGCGAGCTGGAGCAGATCGCGCTCCCGGCCGTGCACAAGACGGCGCCGCCGCTGGCCGACGTGCCGGAGGTCGACCTTGCCGTGGCGGGTAGCGGCTCTGATGGACGGGCGGCCGCCGCACGCGCGGTGGCGCTGGCGTGCGAGGAGCACGGGTTCTTCAAGGTGACGGGCCACGGCGTGCCGGCAGAGCTCCTGACGCGCGTCGAGAACGCCGCTGCCGCCTTCTTCGCGCTCTCGCAGCGGGACAAGGAGGCGGCGATGTCGGCCGCGACGCCGGGCAGTCCGTTCGGCTACGCAAGCAAGCGGATAGGCAACAACGGCGACCTCGGGTGGGTCGAGTATCTCCTGCTCGGTGTCTCCGCCGCGACCAGCGGGCCACTGTCCGTGCCCGAAGGGGTGGTGCCGTCAGCGTCGCTCTGCTCTTTCCGGTGAGTGCACCCTTGAATTGAATTGATAATTACTCCAGCTTGCAGCGTGCACGTACCACCAGTAAGATCTTTCTATTTACGACACGTTATTATAG